CCGGCTCCCTTCATGGAATTCATGGAAACAAGGAAGGGCACCATAACAGGATGGATCGAATTTGACTATTTCGTGTGCCTCATCGTCTGTTTACACATTCAAAATCAAAGTTAGGGCAGAAAACCAGACAATTTGATAGACAGACCGACAGAGCAAGTCAAGGTAATCAGGTTCTGTATCAGGGTTCCTAAAATTAGAACTCTGGCATAAACAGACTAAACCAAGGCTAGTTGAAAACTCTTCTTCGCCAAATAGACGATAGAATTGATGAAATTCAACCAAATCTCTCGCTTATGACGGCTTTCTTCAACTGAGTGTGATGCACCAGTTGGGATTCAGGGTCCAAGTGGAACAAAAGATCGACGGAAACTCAGGGACTACGCCTACTTGATGAACTCAAAGAAAGGCAAAACCGGTCGTGAAACGTCAACCAGTTTCCAACTGTATGAGTAGTGTTACGTCTGGACGAAAAGTCAAGCTAAAAAGTCAGCTACAAAACTGGCGTCTTTGTAGCGTAAAATCGTTGCCGACTTAGCGACGTGCAATAGATGTTGTTTTTCCGTCAGTCGACACTGTTTTCACCTCTCTTGGTCCTTTGAATTCTTTGCAATCCATCGAATGTCGAGCGATTGCGCTTGACGGACGTTTCAAGCTATTAAGTGATAATTTTTGGGGACTTGTTCAGATATCCGTGCAAACGTACTTCTGATGTACACTCTGCCGCATTAAATAAGGTACACACAAAGAGAGTTGAAGTTGTTTAGGCTGGATTCGGTAACATCCACTGAGTTTTATCAAGCCATCTTAGTGTCGTAGTGTTACTGTTTTGAGAGATTGCTTCAGTCACCGCCGCACTGGTTTACCACTGTGGTCCCGTTAGAAGTGTAATGTGGTGAAGTCGGTTTCTATAGGAAATCCTCTAGTTTTCTCTCAGCAGTTTTTTGTACGTTTTAGTGAAATTCCCGAGATATTTCTTCCCTATAATACGGCTGATACGTTTTAAGGTCTCTTCCTCTTACGTCATCATACTTACATATTCTAGTTTTGGCAAACCGACTTTGTATGGACGACTGAAATCCCTGATAAACTACCGTTTCTAGATAAGACTGACGTTACAAATTTTACTCAGTTTAATCCCGCATCTAATCTCGTTGGCCGTCCTGTTTGTCTGTCAAACTGTGTCCATCATCTTACCCTCTCTTCAGTATGAACGTATGTAATCAGCGGACAAGATACATGAAATAGTTTTATCCAGTCCATTCTGTTATGAGGCTTTTTGTCACCCATGAAAAATTTACGAGCAGTTTTCCAACAGAACTGCCTGGGAAGGTCTGATAAAACCAATCTAGTATACCCATGGAGCTGTACTTTTAAAACGCAACGGACCATGTTCCTAATTAAGACTAGCTTTCTTCATGTAAATATGCTTATGTGGTTGTATGCTTGTATGGTCTCAAAATTAAGGTGCGTAAACATTGTATACCAAGGATTCAATATTTATGAATTGTTCAGCCCGGGCGGCATCATCTTAAAGCAGTTTTTGATAGAACCGTTTATGGTAAAACAATACAGACAGCCCTTGGAATTTTTACAGGCATATTGGTGCACACTACTGATGAAACATACGACTAGTCCATGGTCTGGTGTCTAGGCTCCGGCCCTGCATCTAGTGAAAGCTGAAGTTCATTGCACAAATTATGAAATCGCTTTGCATTGTTGACTTCTATTGTTAACTAGTCAATGAATGGCCATGAAAATTCAAGAGGACGCGTGAAAATTTTCAATTTTTATAGTTGCTGTGCAGATGAGCTTGTAACTCGTTAGTTCATGTTTGATAACAAAGAAATCCTCAGCGCTGCCCTTTCTTTCTTTCCCTGCTATCGCATTTTCATGATATATATATATATATGCATTTACAGTCGTTTGATAGGAAACAGTATTTTGATCGTTTTGAGGTGTGTTTATCTTATAGAGTAAGGATCAGGTCTGAAACACTATCTTATTTGTCAGTGATATGGAACTACTTATTAGTCGCAACTATCGAAAGGATTAACACTGAGACAATAGCCTGTTTAAACCGATTTCCAAACTTATATATAACAATCTCAGAGAATAAGTGTCATCATCAGAATATCTCGGAAAAATTGTCACATTATCATAGGCAGGTATACAACCGCCATTTGGCCGTGATTGGGAGAACTTACGGTGACGTTCTACCATTTGACTAACAGTCGATTTTTACTTCTTGATACAATCGTACTGATAAAATGTTGGTGTTTCATGACCGTAATTTACCCCATAGACGGGCGGAAACAGTACTGAAAAGTTCACATTTCCCATGTCCTAAAACCGGAGAAAAATAGATTACTAAGCAAACATCGCTTCCTTCGCTACAAAGGAATACTTGGTGTAGTTTCCTTTGCGGAACGATATTCTACAATTCTCATCCAGTGGTGAGTGTCAGCCTTTAAGGAAGGGATTTGCTGTGATCAAACTTGACAAAATAGTGGCCTGCTACCATAGAAATTCGAAGTACAGGATTCAGTTTCATGTACGTAATAACTTTATTTTACTTGAGTTGACCACATTTCATAAAAAACCGCATTGCTTTAAATATCTAATGGCTCATACATCAAAGGTTAGCGTCCACAAGGGTAAAGGAATTGTGACATGATTGGTCAATAGGACAAACCTTAATGGACCAGTAAAAACAAGAAGACTTTTCATTGGACTGGGAGTATGTAACTTGAGGATGACCGATGTTTTTCAGTATACATTTGGTATCTCCTCACGTCCGTCCCACAGAGAAATGAGACTAGTTTTGATTTCTTTTCAATGTATTTTACAGTGGGGACTGCTATTTTGGCTTGCAAACACTCAGGAATCTCTGTACGCCTACTTGGATATGGTTACCATGCCATACAACATAACGAGATGCCGTGAGACTAACGTGGTATGGGTATCGTTCCAGGAGGTTGGGTCAAACCGCGCGGCGTACACCCATACACTGAATGAAGTCTCAGAGTGTCAACTCATATGTAAGGAGGATGTGGAGTGTCTAGCGTTTATCTGGCACGTAAGTCTGTTAGTGAATATTTTTCTGTTGCACAGACAGTAATGATCACACACAGAAATGTGGCACACCAAACTTTGGGAATCAGATATGAAGAAATCAGCTAGGTGTTGAGAATTCTGTCTAGCAAAAAGCTCATTCTAAAGGAGAATACTAAAAATTTGTCCAACAGCTCAATGATCACTGGTTACTCCTGGAAGCAATAATTGTTTTTTGTGACTCGTCAATTTCACTCACACTCAGAATACTTCTTTATGATAACCATGTGTGCTTCTTGCATGAATTTATCCTTCGCTCGGTGCTCCATGTAGACTTACGTGTTCCAGGATAGAAGACACATTTATCAGCCTAGGATCATGTGTTTGGCACCACTTGTGTCCAGGCGCTCTGTTGACGGAAACAATGCTAAAATAAAGCAGAACCAGCTAGATAAAAGTGCAAGACCAGGTCTCCCTTAGGAGCCGCATTTGGAGTCGTATCCATTTGCGCGATAGAGGTCTGAGTGAGATCTTTCAATGCGGCACCTTAGTAAAAACCTTTTAGTTATGGAATGGCGTTGCTCCGAAAGGAAATTAACAGTCTTGCTTGTAGCAAATTCCACTAACCGACAGTGTGAAACTGCCAGTTCTTCACACAATGAATGCTCAATATCTCTGATGTGCTTTACGACAGATGCACCAGGTTTTAACATACTCTGGGGAGTGTTCGCCCTTGCCCTACTGTTCGACACTTCTCATTTTGAAAGCGTAAATTATATGGTTTTTGCTTATAGTGTTTGAAAAGCCGGTCACAATTTGACAGCTTGTCCTCTTAGTGGCATGTCCATCAGAAGAATGTTGGATTAAAGCATCCTGCTACTGGGCTACAATCAGATGATGTGTGTTATATGCGCGGAGATGTCGACATTTATTCCTTCCATATCACCAACACCCATAACTCAGGAGTATGAAAACTGTTTCTTCATGTTAGATCTTTAGGCTTCGATATTCTGTCAGTTGAAGTTACACCGGGACAAAGCTGTCTGTCAATCCTGTTCTGAACAGTGCATCCGATAATGCTGCATACACTGCAAAGTTTTATTACGCACTACTGTGCCTGACATTCCCACGGAAGTAAGAGTGAATCAATACGAAGCGAATGTTACTCAGAACGCGAATCAATAAATGCCGCAAAAATATATTCTCCGTAATCCACCAGTGTGTGTTCGGAATTTGCACCAGCATCATGTCTACATTTATACGGCACTTTTAAAATGCAAATTCACACAGCTGTTACAAACCTATGGAGAAAACACACGCTGACGGACAAAAATAGCACACACTGAAACGTGTATACATTCCGGTAACATCCTTTTGCCGCCTAATTAAAACGAAATTATTGACAGTTAGTCAGTAAGCCGTAACACCCTTTACGTGCATAGTTTCTATGGTACCTAAAGGACGCACGAGGACTGAGTTATTGCCAGGTTGCCCAAGCTCAGACAGAAGCAGTGCGATGTCAAGTTTAGGTTCTGACTACTGATCTTCCTATCAGCAATTTCGCGACGTTCACAGCTGAGCTCCATGCCGTTGGCTGCCGTGGATATAATTACAAATAAGTGGTTGCCTGACGTCTGTTCAACAGATCATGTTTCTCCTTAGGAAAACAGTTTTCCATAATGAGGCAATACAATTCACTTGCGTTTGTTTTTGGGACCAAAATATGACTGCTATCCCTGTGGGTGAAATAACGAATATGAATGTAATTGATACGAGAGCCGTGAATGACCTATCAAAACGGTCTTCATTATTGACCGACCAAGCGTTTAATGAGAAAGCTCAAATTGCGAATATACNATACACTCATATGCAAACTGATTTGGTTTTTCGAGAGACTCTCCTGGAACTCAGCTGAATCTCTCGGTTTTTATGCTTCCAGGCAACTGAACATGTTGCACCGGGCCGCCTCATGTTTCAGTCGCTACGATATTCGAGATATCGCGATACATATGTTTTTTGTAATGCACTACTCATAAAGTTGCTGGAAACTCCTCGAGAGCCCACGACCGTTTTGCCCTTCTTACCTGGAAACATCAGAATCAAGAGATTCAGCCGGGTTCCAGGTGAGTCTTTCGAAAAAGAAATTAGTTTGCACATGCGTGTATATTCGCTAATTTCGTGCAGTTTGTTTTCAAGTAGAACATAAGTTTGACGGAAACTCGGAGACTGATGAGCCCCAAGAAGGGGGAAACCGGTCGTGGGCTTTCGAGGAGTTTTCAGCAAACTTATGAGTAGTGGACTACAAAAAAGAAAGCTCAAATATTTATGTGCCACATTACCCAGTAGCTTTGGGTTAAAGGCTGTGGATAGCAAACACAGAAGGCTCGAAGCGATCGATTTAGGTCTATTCTTTGAGTAACCGCCGGACACCCATTATTGGGGGGCGAGAAATATACTTAATAAACCTAATCAAGACACAATAACTAGCAACAAATCAAACAAGAACGACAAGGAAAACAAACGTGGGTTTTACAGGACGCGTGAAATTTTAACACGGTCAGTAAACATGGACTCGTCAGGTCCTTGTCACTTTAACAAGGCCAAGTCGAGAGAAACAATACGGAAACGTTCTTCTCTCATTCCGCACCTTCTTACGAAGCCTAATACATGTTTGGCGTATCCCATATTCAGTGAAGAGAGCAGCTTGTCGTAACCTAAATACATGCACTTACACACACCATAGCCGATACCGGTTGTGTAGTGGCTCTCATGAACCATGGAAAATATGAAGATAAGATCATTCGGCATCTAAACCTTGGTCCCTGTTAGTGGAAACGCCCTGTTTCAGTCTCAGCAACACACTAGCATAGATCAGATTAATGTTCCCAATGATTCAGTTAACAGACTTCGCGACACTTTGGCGCACCATTAAGAAAGGTTGGTAGTTATGAACTTACGTTGTAATGTAGGGCCTTATGTTCCCCTATCACCATATCTGACTCGGATTTAGATGTACTTGTCACCTGCTTCACGTTTCAAAGAAAGTTCAGTAGACAGAGATATGTTTGTCCTATCGTGCCCATGGTGGTCGACTTTTCGTATACGCCGGCTCCCCTTATCTTACCAACTACCCAAAAACAGGCGCTTCTTACTTGCTTAATCTACCAGTCAAATATTTTCAGGTGCACTATAAGATTTAAAGTGAACAGGGGTTCATTGACTCCATATGTTGTGGACTTCAAGTCTGTGCAAACCAGTCGCTTATACACTGAGTAGGCAAATGCTAAACGACTCTCGCCCCTATGCTGCCTAAAAAGCGCGTTGATTGCATACTTGTGGGATCGAGTCAAGAAAACGCTTGGGTGACATCTATAGAAAGCATGTGGTAGGTTGATAAATTGTAACTGGGGAACAATGTCCCCATGCCCCTAAGCAGATAAAAGCTGTCAATACCAATAGAGAAGCCAGAATGGCAGATAAGCCATAGACGTGGGGTACTTTCGACTTATTCAGAAAAGTTCGAAAATCCGCTGAAATTTAGACGCCTAACCAGCTAGTTTCAGGGGAACGTCTCAAAAAATGCCATCTATTGTCCTATTTCTAAGCATCTAACTATCATTGTTTAATATGTCTCTTTGATTTCTACACCTAGAATCTCCCACTGTACTTTAGTTTGATGTTATGTACTGAGACCACAAGAGCACCTTACGTTTTTTCATGTTAGATCGTTATTGAAATAGACTGAATTAAATGAGTTTGGACTGAGAGCTGAATTTAAGCGGGGGAGATGGAATAGGATACAAATGCTGGGAATAAAACTCACCTGTAGACGGCACTCAGGTTGGCCTAATATGAGTTACTCACTTGATTCATTCTTCTCAACTTACATGATGTCCCTTGTTCTGCAAAACATTCTATCCGTGCCATACTTAGACGTCCTTGAGAACTTGATACGAGTTTACCCATTACCTCTTCAAGACTGAGGCGAAATCATCAGAAAAGTGAGAGCTTCAGCCAACCATTTGATTGTTTCCAACATTTCTGAGCAGTGAAAACGTGAATACCTACCAGAGTCTTAAGGTGTTCATCATAGTTCTCACCAGAGTTAGGAGCATTTGTGCTGACACCAATGCTCCACTACCACAAAGTTTACTTACTCAATTACACTTAAAATTCCAAAATAAAAAGGGAAGAAAAGATTGAGTGAGAGAAGGGTCTGCACCATAAAACTTTCGATCAGAGAATCTGTGAGAAATTGACGACACGAACGCTTGACATTGATCAACCGCTGTTTCGTGCAGTGTCTCCAGCCAAGTGCAAGGGGTCACGTGGACGCAGTCCTGAAAAGTGCCCACACCAACAACACTCAGACACTTCATACACTTTTTCAAGTCGCGCCTTATCCAACTCGCGGTTCTTGCCTTTCTGAATGAGACAGAGGGAGCAAAAACTGTCCCGGTAGACGATATTCCAGCATGCGTAGCTCATGACTGAGCCACCGCAGTTAATGTTATCAGATGTATTCCTCGACTGCTGCACAGCAAAATGCTCGTTTTTCAACTATCTTGTTACAAACCGTTTGTACCATTCAAAACCAGCAACGCTTTTCAGATATCTGAGGCCAAAGATCTTTGGAAACCTAACTTTATTTAACTACAGATGACATGTTTGTCAACCATACCAAAACACAGTCTTACTGTAGCCTGGCACACTGTTGGGGATATCAATATCCCCCAAAAACGCTGTATCTTTATGTGTACTAGCGAACTTCCGGCATATTCAAGGTCAAACTATGAATAAATCAATGGCCTATTGATATTCCAAGAAATTCAAATCCGACCACTTACTTACACGATACCATCTTTTTACTGACTTGGGTTCGGAAGCTTGGGGCATCGCCTGTTGATCGTGTGTTTTTGGATCATTAAAGTTTGTGTCCGAGGTTTTTCGTCTTCTTACTATCCACCGTGCTAGGAGTCTCGATCAAGCAAAATAGCTGGGGATAGAGTATTGCCACAATCCGCATATCATATTGGTTGCTCGCTGCGTGACCGAACCGTGACACACACGCGATTCTCAAGACCGGAATGCCTTTACTATGATGTTCCCAGGACAAAACTGTTCAACTACCAGTTTAGGACGACTGTTTAGAGAACATGCATTCCGACAGCATCTCACATAAGTTCACTGCCATCCACTACCTGATAACCAAACGGACTGAACTGCGCTGCTTTTCCGGGGACACAATAAAATCAATTTAAGAAAAGTCGAAGTTCACGAATAAGTGAGGATGCAATTTTCGGTTCCATCACTTTGTTCTTCCAAACAAGGCCAGTCAACCAGAAACCCCACAATTCAGACGTGTCAAACGTTTGCCAATGGGCCATGAAACTGCACGCACCAGTCTCTGTTTCAGTCCCGGCGGCTGCTCGGTGAGTCAGTCCTAGGTCGCGCAACGCGTTGCGGTCTTACTGGCGACTCGAAGCGGCTGACATTACTAGGAATTTTGGACGTATTGATTAAGCGATTGCAGGATAATTGGAGTAACACTGGACAATCATTAATTTAGAAATTGTAAGTGATCTTCCAGGGGGAATAAATGGTTTCAGTTCGACCCATCTATTCAGTACCGAGAGTTTCGAGCTAACGCTTTGTGATGGACGCTTACATCCTAATATTCCTTATGGGCTCCTTGTACTCGGTAATTATGACTATTATTCCGTGAACTTTCTAGCCACCCTGTTGGAACCGAAAGCTATGTGCTTACGCTGCAATTTTATGATGTAGTCCACATGGCTTTTGTTTAGTTCCAACAAGTTATCCTGGTTAGTGAAATCAGTGAGTGAAGTGTAGTTAAAAACAAGCCTCTTTATCGTGATTTAGATAGCTTAGCATGTGCTTCTAACTCGAAGGCTAAGAGGTAGTCACGTGTTGTACCGCTAAATTTGAACTTCATTTGCAGGAATTTTCGGTTGCATTCGTTTGAGAATGTTGGATAGGATGACAAAACTTACTTTACGTTAGTGGTGTTAATGCCGAATTCATCCGGCACTGCAAGACACTGAAAGCTATCAAATTTACTGACAGTGTGAGGTGATTTGAGCTATTTTAAAATAGACATTTTATTCTGTAAGTGAAGCCAATCTATGCTGAAAAGCTGAGAAGCACTGCACAACTGTCCCTTCAATAAGGATTTTCAACGTATATTGGCCTTTAAATTGTATCATCAGATTAATCAGGAATTTGACAGGTAATTTTCACGGAGTGAAGGCCCAGTTATTGGCTCAAAAAAGACGGGAAGTTCTGGAAATGTAAGCATTCCGACTTGATGAAGCCTACTTGATAAGCCTAATACTGATGGGTTGACTTGGTCCCTCTGTGGTCCACCCTGATGAGATCATCTTATTTGACCTTGGTCTGTCACAAATTGGCCATTCTAACAAGTAGTTGAAAGAACCTACCAACCAAAAAGCCGTGTAGAGTTGTCAACTATGTTTTTCGCACATAGTTCCAACAGGCTCTATCAATACTGATATTTTTTCACGTTCGCAATCGCAGTGATATTTTAGCTCATTTACAATTATTTCATGCCATTTCTCGAAGATCGTTTCGACGATATGCTATTTCCTCAAGGAAGATATGCTCAGAAATGTGGCGTACCATCAAGGTTCTTCTGTGTACCTCATGGTTTGTCCAGGTAAGCTGTTATTCCAAGTTTGTTTCCCCCTAATATTCAGCGTGTGGACGTGTTTTAACATTTTATCGTATTTCTTAGAAGACCAGTTGAAATGAGGAAAGTCTTCTTGCAGAATGTACTGAGCGGCCCATCCATCGAAAATTAAAATCGACTTAGAATAGTGAACAGTTACAGTGACCCTCTCCAAAGACCACTTGGTTGAGGAGCCAGCTGCCCATGATATTTTAGTTTTTGATCCCTCAGTCACAAGGATGGGAAATCAGTTATTTAATTGTCCAGCGAATCCCGTGAAGCTGAGAAGTGAAGGCTCACGTACAAAAGGAGAAAAACGGTTGAAAAAATAACAATGCGATGCAGTTGTCACTATGTGTCAGAAGACATCCCATCTGTGGGATAGTCACATGATCGCTAGAGGTTACTTGGACAATACAACAAAGGGAGTTTTCTTTACCGTCATTGTTAGCAAAACGCGACAAACATATTTTTCCAGAGATACGAAGGCATATGTGCATGTGATCAACACGTGAACAGAACCTGGAAAGTCAACTGGTAACAGGAAGCCAAAACAGAAGAAATCTAGTGCATCGAAAAAACTTCATTACGGGAAACCGGTCGTGCAAGTGATAAATTAAAAACTTTCACTCAAAAGTCGGTATTTGTGGTCACTATGAAAGTGGTATGAGGTATACTTTTCTAAATACTGATGTGCTTGTCTAGAGATGCAAGCAACGAATCATAGATGGTTGCAGAGAGTGAGATGCCACATCAAGTCCGGCGTTAGAAAATGTACTTTCATTATTATAACCACCAGGAAATTAATGGAATGCTCTCCTGAAGTGACAAAAACACCATTTGATAGTAATGCAATCTGCTGAAGGCGGCTGCGATAGAATAGAAAAGATAACTCGTGGTGCAAAGTTTAAAATTTTAGATTACCAAGCTGACAATATTTAGGAAAGAATTTCATTGTTTCAGGGATGAGATGACACACGTGGACGCACAGGTGTATTATAGTCTGAGAAATGAACATGGATTGTCTTTCGGGATAACACGTACATTCACCAAGCAGTGATAGGCCTTTGTAATGGTACGACCAAGAATCTGGAAACACTTATATCCCGGTAAAAAGTCCATGATCCTAATGTGACCCTGAGTGAACCTTTGTGCATACGGAACTAAGCATCGAAAAATGCACACAGCTGCCTTTTGAGACCGCCGGACTGATTTTTGTAAAAACCAATTCTTCCAGTCAGTCTGTGTTGAATCTGTGTGTTGGCGAAATTTTTTCACTTCAGTTGCACACCAAAAAGACCAGAAAGACAACTCCCCTACGAAGGCGACTAGATGCACCAGTAGCTGTGGAATTTCGCTGGTTTTAGAAATACTTGTAACCGCATCCAAAAATCGATAAGAAAACATGTCCAGATCTGAGTTCGCCATGCATGTGTAGGACTACTGGCCACCATTAGGGCAACAGTCCCGTAGCTATGGTTTACAGGCACGCGAATCCACGGTGATCAGGTTGGTTTGTCATCGCGCACTGAATCCGAGAACGATGTACAAAGCAGTATCGGGGAGTGATGTTGCAAATGAGGAATCATGAATGTCTCGAAAAGTCATAGATTTGTCAGAATCGTAATTGAGGTGATTCATCTGTCAAGAGATATCCTGAAGAGCAACCCAGTCAGTGTTGTTATTCTCTGGTGGGATACTTGCCATGTTTTTGAAAAACCAGTCACCATAAGAGTTTTGTATTTGAGTTGCATGTAGAGTCGCTTTCAAGATAAACAAAATCCTGTATGGCACTCAAATTCAGCAACGTTACCTACGTGTGACCTCTAGTTTGCCCCTACACTTTGTCCAGTTAATCAAAAGTTCACGTTGCCTCAGAGCTTTATTGGGGGGCACGTGACTATTAGATTAGTACCATCTATGTAACTAATCTCACTTCCGCTTAAATAAATTAGAACCCATGGATAATAGCAACAATGGAATGCTCTGCTGCTAATCTATTTTCGAGTAGTCCTACCCAAGACGAAATTGTAAAAATCATTCAGTGAACGAATACACTCGTGTTTATCTGAATACAAATCCGAAAATAGTGGTGTGCGGGTAGTCAGAACTAAAAATCAAATTTGATGCAAGCCCTCTAAGTTCGGACCTTTTCATCGAAAATTCAAAGTGTTCCAGCTGCAATAAAAATAACAAATCATTTTGTTACCGAAAGTAGAAGTGATATTCAGTCTGTTCGTTGGCTAAATCCATTTAAAACGCAGTTGCTAAATCTTAGACCTTTGCTTGATTGCACAACTAGCATGCTCTTGTGCACAAACCTATTTTTCAACCTACTTCATATATAAGATAGAAGCTGGCCAGTGCATTACCTGGACTCAGGGAAACACAAAGTTCAAAGAAATTCATTGACTCATTCCATCAAGATTACTTCCTTTGACTAATTCAACTGTTCACTTCAGCAACAAGATTGTTTGCCTTTTTGCTTTCGTTAGTAGGTGTTCTATGACTTTTTGAAAGCAAATTCACTGTAAACAGGAAGCAGGAGAATTATCTGAGAAAAGATGATAAAAAGAGATAATTCTCCAATCCGCTGTTTCATGCAGTGGTGTGAAACAGTTTCTGTTCATTTTTGTACATTCCTTTTTTGATGCTTACTGATCAAATAAATCGCTTGTTTGAGAGAAGAGTCTTTTATAAAGCGTATCAATAAAGAACTGTTTCTTGAACTCTATGCTGAAGGTAAATCTCACCGAAGCAACCATGATTAGTCTAGCATGGTGGATCATCACAGCGTGCACGAAAACCCAATTTCAAGAAAGAAATTTCATGAAATATTACGGTAAAGCCTCGTGTTACGTGCTCCTTTGAGAAGACTCTCATTTTAGAGGGACCGTCTTTGATCAGTCTTGCCAGATTACTACTAACTTCCTGGTAGATGAATTTCCATGTTTCTGGTAACAAATAGTATTACAAATTGGACCGTATAACAAGCTACAATCTTTCGTTTCAGAAAGTAAACTTTGAGCTTCACTCCTGCGTGTGTTTACTGAAGTTCACGGGACAGTCTAAAAACGCTAGTTAAGGCCTTCAATCCTCAGGAATGACAGATAATAATCAGTGTTGATTCCTCGTGTGAATCAACGGTTAGTTTCTTTCCTGTTCTGGCTACTCATGAGTAGCGTGATGTTCGGCCGTCTATTATAACGCCGCCTTAGTTTCCTGCCTCGTCGTTCTCCTGGTTCCACTCCTACTTAAGGTGTGCTTATTCTCCAGTATCAGGTGTCAATATTTTGTTGCCCACTAATCTTTCCTTGCAAGTCCGTTCCAGTTCTAGCTATTTTTGGGCGACCGCTCTGGCGGATAAAGGGAACGACCGGGGATTGAACTCAGATCTCCTCGAATGGTAGGCTAGGGTGTTACCCGCTACGCCAGCCTACCCATTTTTTTATTACCTATAAACCGCATCTGCCAGATAGCTTCTGTTGAGAGTGTTTTAAAACGGACCTAATCGCACAATCCGATTTGTCACGTGACACGACCTACCGCATCGCGCCGTCAGCCAAAGACAGTTCCTACCTCCCGGACTCACTGATTACTTTTTGCGTCGTTATCTCTCTTTACGGCTAATTTACACTGACTGACTGCGCTGCCCCTTCATTGACCATTTATCTGCTCTGTTGATTGTGTTATTATTGATTGACAGTTCTTGACAGTTCTCAATACATCATCTATTGCCCTTGTCCTTCTGTTTCTATTGTCTACTGGATACGAACTGCATATTATCCAATAGCCGCAATCGTCCTGTAGGATCCTTAGCTGCCCGGATCTCACAACCACACTTGTCGGTAGTCATTAGAAAACCATGAGTACATATCAGCTGTTGAGTTACAATCCCAAAAGCAAATAGTCTTTACTCATACATTTCCGTTTTCTATCAGTTTTCGAAATTACCTGGCAATAAATACGGTCGTTTCAATTCTAATAAGATTCCCGTCTAGTCATCAGCATTTTTTGAAGTTCTCGAAGAGTTATGCGGCAGTGCATTATTCGGCTCGCACATTTGCTAAGAAACAAAGGCATAAGCAGTGGAAATCTGCAACCTTGCGAATGACCTTAGGGACATCAAGTCACTTGTTTTCTGAATGTTGTTTCATATTTGAGACGCTGGCGGAATATTTCATAGTGCTGTCTCACTCTCTTATGGACACGTGGGTATCCAGTAGCCCAAGAGTATGTTTTGGCATCCAGGTCTACATACTTGTTTTTGTGGTAATTTTGTCTTCATGTTCACAGGGAAGCGTCAGTCCGCCTTAGAGTAAATCCTTACTGCCGTCATGTGGCAAATGTCACTGGTCCCTGGATAACTAGGTTTCAAAACATAGCTGAGAAGGAATCAAATTTATGCTGAAATCCGAACGTTGCATACTTGAGCTAACCCCGATGGAGTTCTGATTCTTAAAGTAAGCAATAGTAACTTCAAAATCACCAACACGTTGATGAGAACCCGAAAGAAGTTCACCGTTAGTACCAGTATTTCGCGCGTTGGTAAAAAGTGTCATTATTCTTTTCTTGAAACATGAGAAAACAGAATGGCTACTTCGATTGTCGGGGTGTTGATAGTCTGCATTTTGTAAATGTTTATTAGTGGACCTAAAGCAGTACAACAGGTGGGCTAGTGAAATCTGAACTTGCTTTTTCAAGTCAAAGATAATGTTTTGGTCCAAACAGCTCGCCAAATAGGCGCAGCTGTACTTTTGAACCGACTGAACATGTGTGGGATCTGGATCCAATGTTATTCTGTCTGCGAAAATTAATGTGAGCTCTTACTGTGGTCAGAGAACAAGCATCCAAAACTGCAATAAAACCTCTTGAAGAAGCCAGGTATAGATCCAACTTTCTTCTCCCTCAGTAAAGTGTTGCCAGAAAAACTTCGTAAAGAGAACAAGTAAGTCATTATCCTTTTAGTCCGTTGGGCATTATTATCAATATTCGACTTGCTCCAGAGAGTTGGCCCAACGAAAGGAAGCTAAACGTCTCCAAATCGCAAAACACCTCATTAAAAACTCATTCATTTTACTGATCAGACGTTGCCTGATTTTCAAATTCAGCAGCTAGCAATTTTGTCTGCTGTAGCGTGTTTTGCATTCTCTGATGTGATGAAACGCCACAGTAAGAACGAGGTCTTGTAGCTGCCCAGTCTGCCTGTTTATGTCACCTACTGAATGACCGTGAACATGTTTAATTTGGACCAATGCTCTGTAGGGAGCTTATTTTGTGGTGAATGTATTATCAGTATTCTTACGACAAGTGCACTCATTGGCACAGCAACTGGGTTTTCACGATAGTTTCAGCTGAATGTGGTGCACAAAGGCCGCCTGATGCTTCAGCTGATACGACATTCGAGACGTGGTAGTAAACTTTCATACGGGAAACTACCCAGAAGACTGCTGAAAATCCTTCGTTGATGCGTTTTTAGCAACGTTTTGAGTTGCTTCCATCGAAATTCACCTTTTATTCAGGGGACATCGGTAGGCGGGTTATGGTAATAACAGTCCCAAAGAAACTGTTCTGTTCCTAGTTAAGGAAGGGAACGTAGCCTCGCCGTTAAGATGCATATCTCCAACACTTGAAAAATCATCTTCCTTTTTAGTTACGTCGCGGCTTACGACCTTTATCTGCGCCATCGGCTTTACATTCCTGGCAGTGAAAGCTGCCGCACACGCCGTTGCATGCACCGAACAACAGGCAGAGCAACTTTCAGTACGTGAATGGTTCACGATTACCAACCTCACTCAAAGGACTTGTAATATGTTAGTTCTGAAGGTTCCAAATTCTCGTCTTTATGCTCACATCAATCAGTTTGACAAGTTTCGTCTTTTACATAATCCCATATTTCAATCAATTGCGTCCATTTTCAAGCCTTTAGTCCAAAGTTAAGATAGGCTTAGGCTTCTTTGGCTACATTAGTATCTACTCAGCTTCTTTGTGTAAAAATCGCTTAAACGATTGTGGCATTCTCTGAGGTTATATTTGAATTCCAGTACTTTGGGACAGAGTGCTTTCCAGGTTCTTTTCAATTCGGTTTATCGTGACCTGAAATGGTAGGACACTTTCACGAGCGCATACATTTGTGTTAATCCGCAATAGTACAAGTAGTTAACATCGAAGACCACAGAACAGGGGGAAGTACCTGATAGAATATTGTCATTTTAGCACGCTGCAGTTTGCAGAAAATAACCAGTAAATACATTTTCAACAAAAAATTTGTCTACTGTGTCGCAAAACTTCAATCCACCTGTGCTCATTGTGTTCCTCTTAATTAGTTTCCAGGGAATCATATATTTTCGGGATAATTTCATTCATTAACTTAACTTGAAGCTCAAAATGAGAACAGATTTTGAGGTGAGTAGTCTACTAGCGTATAAGTTTGGTGGAGTGCTCGAACACCTCACCTCTAGCTTGGGCCAATTTTGCTCTGAAAAGTCAGCTTCCCAAAGCGGAATCTCTCCTCCATACTTTTACGCTTCTACTTCAAACCTAGGTTGGCTTAATGGGATAATGGTGAAATCATTCAGTTCCATCAATGATGCGTGACTTCGAAATATTATAATCGACTAGATATTGGACTAGAAGTTACTATCATACTTATGCCGAAATATTGTTTGTACAAACTGCCACAAATCGGATGATAATTCCACGAATTTCCCCAGAACTCTCCCCAGAGGGAGAACGGCTGCAAGTACCATGAAACAGATAACATACTGATCATGATCTCATTATATCTAGTCATCAGGATGCAATGCGCGCGCCTAAATAAATGTCTCAGTGACATTATCCCAATTTCCGTCTGCATGAAATTGTTACGCCCAAGATTTTACAGTCATCCGTAGAGGTCCGAAACCTCCATCTGGACTTCATACTGGCGTAGCGGTAATACTACCAGTGAGGGGCATGCGAGTAGCACGTCTCCCCGTAAATCCGCATTGCATCTCTTGAAAAGCGAGGTCTATTACGGAACTTGTGGAGTCGCTTTGCAGCATTTGATTGCAACTGAGTAACAGTCAATGAATATCTAGGAAATTAAGGAAGACGCGTTCAAGGAGGAAGTGGATATTCAATCTTGCAAACAAGAAGAATATGAAAATTTTGCTCCCCTGTCCAAAAGCCTGTAGATTTTCAGTTGGCGTTTCTCTAATAAACAACAACGCAGCGAACGCCTTCTTCCTTTCATTGGTACTTTTATTAGGCTGGCTCCTTTTCAAAGTTGTACGACGGTGAGGCAGCGATGTTTCCACCTAGTGTTTCTGTTACTGACGATGGCGTCTTTCTGACCAAACTGTTTGACTGGTTAGCTTATCCTATCCATCAGAATAAAGTGGTCGGAAAGGCTTATGTAGGATGACAAAGGCTAGTTCCGTAATGCCGCAAGATTGGCTTGATCATGCGTGAAAGTCCAAACCGGTTGCGATTGCAGTTAAGCATTGCCGGGCTAAAGTTGCCGCAAATCAGTAGGAAAATGCTGCTGCATTCATCAACAGTCGGTATAATTCAGACGATTCTGAAACATTACCCAAAG